GGTGAGGCTTGGGGCAGAGGCTGGGTGCCAGGAACACTCATCCAGTGCTCGGTACAAAGCAACGGACATCGCCGAGCGCTTCTCAAGAAACGCCGGGGGAGGAAGGTTACAGTTCTGCCAGCGTCCTGAAGGCAGAGGGGAAAGGGACGGATCTGGTCTCCGCTCCTTGCTTTCTAATCCTGCCTACGTTATATTCGGTGGCTCCCGAAAGTGAAATGAGGAAGCGAAGACCAGACCCCGCGGCGGTGCGTGCTTCGGCCGTTAAGCGACCAAGTTAAGCGACCGGGCTGTCCTCCGGCAATGCCCGCTGCAGAGAGCCCCGCAAAAGGGCTGGTGCGGCCCCAGACAGACGGTCTCTTTTCCAGCGGTTACGGCACTCTTGGATGGTAGGAGGGGCGGTTTTAAACCTTTTCGGTCTCGGGCAGGCTTTGAAACGTGATCTCCCCTTTTCTGGGCCGTGCTGTAACCACTCGGACGTATTAACAGGCGATAGGGACCCGCTTTGTAGGAAAATGAATCCAAAAGTGCTCTCCTGCCCTTCAGGGGGGGACACTTTTCTTTCTGGATCCTCGTCGACTGCCCTGAGCCGGCTAATCTGGAGCTGCTCGTCGGCACTTTTCCATCTCAGTGATGGGTAAGCTGGAAATGACCCATATGCCGTGGCTGCACCTCATGGCGCAGTGATTCTGCCGAAGCTGCCGCTTTTCTCTCTCTTACTGATTATCCGACTCGTTTCAAAGTATAATTAAAGTGATATTTCGAGTTCAGTGGAGGAAGCAGAGTTTTCCAAGTATCCCTGGAAAAGTCTGTCTGTCTGTCTGTCTGTCTCTCTGCACTACCTAAAGAAGGACAGAAGGAGACGAACCTCTTCTCTGGTCAGAGCTTCTCTAAGTACCTTGTAGTAGGTAATGTGAAAACCTCCTGAAAAGGCTTTTCTAAGAACCCAGAGTCCAGTCGGTGATTTCCGATGACGGATAAATTGAACTCGGGATGCCAAGAATCACCATTTTTTGCGATAGTTTATTTTTAACTACCCGATCACCCCTTCTGTTTAATGCAGGAGGCTAACAGAGTAACTGGGTACTTAGTGCGCCATCTGGGTCTCCAGGCGAGGACCTTCACTTGATTTTCTGTGCAGACGTTCTAGCTTTCTTGATGTGGATCGCCTCTCGCAACCTCTTTCTGCTCGGTCGGAGGCACGGTGCATACACTGAGACTAAGCGAAGTTGGAAAAGCTAAACTAAGCCTTTTTATCAATAGAAACTCCACTAACTCGGGTGCTTTTTGCAGAATCACCTCAGCTATATCCTATAATCTTCGCAGCTTCTCAGTACCAATGCATGTGGTAAGAAAGGCAATTTGGTTGTACATCTCTGTTAGCAGTGCAACGCTTGGATGCTTCAGAATGTACAGTGTATGCTCTTCTCTACACCCGGCAGAGGGCAGAAATAGCTGAATTTCATCCAAACTTACCGTGAAGGGAAACTTCTGTGTGAAAACTCCACATGGACTGGATCTAAGTAAGCAAGAAACGACTCTTCCAATGGATAGGTTTCTCGGATTATTTAACTGCTTCTATGGATACAAAAACAGCTTTACCTCCAGCTAAGATCAGGTCTCTGGTGTTATGGAGCTGTTTATTGGATTTTCAGCTCGATGGATATGGAAACGGTGCAGGGAACTATTCAGAGCATAGGAAAAGGGACATCGTGTATTGCCCTGTCCTGTATACTTGACATCAGTCTTGTTTTCTCATTAAACAACTGTTTTACTGATTAAAATGTCACAATGTATTTTACAACAAGCTTAATGTAGACCTTTAAGCACAGCTCTAAGAAACTCGAAAATAAAATGGTGCTCATTTAGCTGACAACAGCATTCTATTTTCATCCTTTTGAATATGTTGTAAAATTATTCCTCCAGAGAAGATATACTTATTCCAGGTAAGTGGATGAACTTCGTAACAAGGAAAGCAGAAAAAAAAATATTTTGCTCAAACAACTCTTTTCCTGGACTGACATAGATGTGCATGATATCTATCTCCATAGAAGACCTGTCCTAGCACCTCTTCACATTCACGAATCAAGGCAGCCATCTCCATCCATTTCTTTTGGTACCCAAATAAGTTGTTAAGAAATTGCACGTGGATCTTATGCTCCAGGAAATCTAGAGGTCAGGAGCGAGACTGTAGATTAATTTTGCAAGATTGTACCTTGTTGAATCTTATCCGTGGAATACCTCTTATTGGTAACAGAGGCATAAAGAATGAAGTAAAAAACAAATCCTGCACTGAAGCCATGAACATGACAGTAATGTGCTAATGGGCCTAATATATCCTAGTCATCATCATCAGCAGTGTCTGCCCAGAGGTGCAGCTGGTCACAGGGGTCCCTATAGTCATCTTTCATGGGCAGCTTCACTCGGGAGCAGTGCTGCAGGGAAATGGTCTCCAAGCTTCATCTTCAGAGGCTCTACTTCCACTATACCCTGCGTTGAAGGATTTGGGATAGGAAACGTGGTCTCTTTGAACGCCCGTGTCGGGGAGATGAGCCTCTCCTTGTTTGGAATTAGGGAAAGCAGATAAAATTGCAAAGATGAAGTAGACAGAAGAGTTTTATCTTTGAGTTTTCGGTTTACGCCAGGTAAACTCAGACTATATACAACTGGCAGCAGTGACCAAAGGCAGATCTGGACTCAAGACATTGCTACTGTCCCAGAAAGCTTGACTACCTTCAGCGTCAGATTTCCATACCGGGGGTGGCGAGAATGAAGCAGCAGCCCTGTGGAGGTTAAGTCGGAATGCAAAAGGGACGCAATTCAGGTCAGTAGTACACGATCGTGTTTCAACACCCTTTTGAACTGAAGGCTGTAAACACGAGCTGCAGAGGTAAGGACTGACGTTGCTCTAAGCTTTAGCCCAGCTGCGGCTGCGGGGAAGCGAAGCAGCGGCGGGCACGGGCGGAAGAGAAGGGCAGTATGTGAAGGTGAATGCCAAGGTGGACAGAGAAGAGGTGTGTAGGCGGGAGGTGGATTGTGTCCTCATTGTGCCCTGAAGCTAGAGACTGTGGTCGAAAACCCTCCCACAGCTCCGCACCGACTTTCTCGAGGCGGATGGGCGGGTGGGTGGGAGGAAGGTAGTATTTAGCTGTCGATATCGGTTTCATGTGAAATGAATGTGCAAATCCCCATGCGTGACTCAGGCAGGAGGTGAGCACGAATGGAGAACAGAGAGATCGACAAAGCGTAGGTCTCAGTCCTGTCTCTTGTAGAGGAATGATCTGGCCGAGGACCTGACTCTTTTTCTACTTCCTCCCACGGATCCTGAGTTATCATGCGTGTTGAATGCGCCTCCTCTCACCACTAGCCTCCACGCCCTCCCATCTCTCCCGTGGCTCTGAGTGCTGCTTAATCTGCTTTTCTGAGAGTTTGCTCTCACTTCGTGTCCCCTCTCCACTGTGCGCTTCAGGGTAGCACGGCATTGCGCAGCAGAGTCACCACTATGAGTCTGCACTATCAGCAGAGCTAGTGGGTTGCATGGAATATCGTCTGTGAATGAGTTACTGCCTAAACTGTTTGACCCTCCGAGGCGGAGTCGAGGGAGGAGGCCCAATCCATCGACCGAGAATGGGGGATGGGAATCTATACCCTGGCTTTCCATTTAACCCCGCCCTCAATCCTTGTAAAACTTACTCACACCACTAGCCTGTGAACCCTCTCCCCCGAGGTCAGCGGGTGTCTTGTGAATATGCGATGTTTAGATTTATTTTGTTGTAGGAAATGTATAGATTGCATGTAAAATATACATATTTGCGAAAAAAATTCACGTAAATCTCAAAGTTTCTGTAAGAGGGACCCCGATCACGGTAACTTCCGAAACTTTCATATTAACTGACAACCACGTTGTAGGTATTTCATCGCACGACCATTTCACTTCAAAAAAAAAAAAAAAGTGTCAAAGATTACTTTTGAGCGACTTCTACTGACGGTGGCTGCTAGAAATGAAGATGAGAAGCAGCGACAGTAAAATCACTTCAAGAGAAAATAGTTTATCCGAAAATAATTAAAACTTCAGTGGGATTTTATGCCTGTTTTACGCTAAAGAGCAAAATCCAGGCCGCACAATCAGTTGTATGGAGTAAAGCAAGCTCTACAAGGAAGATAAAAAATAACATCACGACAGGCTGAGGTCTCATTACGACAATTGTGTGCACGTCTCTTAAATTACTACAGAGAAAAAGATGGCAATAAGTACTTGGAACCAAAGCAAAGCAGAAGTGAATGGTGTAGAATAAAAAATGGCTACGACAGTCAGTCCAGTAAGACGTGAAGAGAAAGAGGCAATTCGTACCGAATGCCACATGATGCCGCTCTGACCTAAAAAAAGAATGACAAACGGGGGTGAGGGGGGAAAAAAACGGCTTCCGGTGCTGATAAAAACTAACGCAGATCAGAAAAAGCTGCAAGGAAGCGGATGTTCAGCAACGGAGAAAGGATAATTATGGTCCGCTGATGTAAATTCTTTTTGCTACACGGATCAGTATCTAAACGGTGGCAGAAGAAGAAAATACGGATTGCGATGAGTCTTTGGGGCCCACCCGGGCTGTGGGTGCGGGCGGTGCTGCGGCTGCTGGTGCTGCAGGCGGCCTGGGCGCTGGGCGGCGGTCCGGTGCGCTACTCGGTGCCGGAGGAGGCGAAGGGCGGCACGGTGGTGGGTCGGCTGGCGCAGGACCTGGGCCTGGCGGCGGGCGGGGTGGGGGCGCGCCCGCGGGGCGCGGG